CGCAGCTGGTGCCGCTCGGGCTCGGCGAAAAGGTCCTCGCGGACTGGCACCCAGCCTTCCAAGCTGTCGGGCTGCTCGTCCTCCATGGCCGCCGGCGGTCAGCGCCCGGAGGGCTCGGCTCGTCGGGGTCCGGCGTCTTTGCACCCCAAGCCACTGTACGACTCGGACCGCGTCATTTTTCGCTCAACTGGAATCGGCGTCAGTGCCCCTACCATCTCCACCCTCCGCACTTCTGATTGGCTGTCTGCGGCCTGGGACGCTTCCGGTACGTTTCCGGGATTGGTCGGGTAATAGAAGGGCGGGTTCACGACAACCAGTGAAAAGATGAAAAGGTCGTCCTCGACCTGACCCTCTGAATCAATCGATGTCGCAACCTAGGCTGGAGGTGGGGAGTTACCACTCTTGCCTCACCTTTTCCACCTGTGTACGCACTGATGTTGAAAAAAATATTTGTTAAATAGACGAGTTGTCGTAGCCGCCTACACTCAACTGTGAACCTCTTGAGAACTGGAGCCCAGCTAATTTAGTTTTCTATTATCAGGGCCCTAGTGAATACATAGTTCCTGCTTTCAAGAATGGTAAGATCAAACATTAAATTAAACGTAATAGTTATCTACTGAGGGCCTCTAAGCGTCAAGCACTGGGTAAAAGCCACAAATTCACTCTTACCGTTTCAGCAAGCTTTTATGGAATGCCTCCTGTGTGCCTGTTTGAAGAGGAAAGGGTCGCGGAAGGAGGCATACAAAAAAGGTGTCTTCAAAGTATCCCAGCTCCCACCCAGCACATTTAAATACAATCTATGTTCTCACTCTTCGTTTTAGCGATAAGGAGACTGAGACACAGAAAAGAAACTTTTCTTAAGATTCACAGGCACTCAGGCTAAATAAGACCACCTGGCTATTGAAGACCAGTTTAAGGAGGTCAGGAAATCTAATTTGCAGGTGGGGATGGAGTATGGGTTGGATCTGGACATGGTTAGCGCCAAAGGGAGTAAGACAGCCGTGGTCTCTACCCGGGAAACGCACAGCGTAGAATGAGAAATACTGTACATGTCAGTTCCCCTCCTGTGAGTGCACTAAGAGGGGTAGTGGGAATGGAGGACCCAGTTGGGGAGCGAGACGTCCAGGGAGCATGAAAAGGAACCCATCATCAAAACAAGGTTTGCAAGGGCTTGATTCAGGAACCAGTGAAAGAGCTTTTGAAGGTTTGGGGCTGGGAAAGCCTAGAATCAGATTTGCACTGGCTATTATAACCAAGGTAGAACACTAACAACAACCAAAAAAACAAAACAAAAGTAGGGCCAGGCTGAAGCCATGGTCGGGGCATCTCTCCCCCTGAAGATGATCCCAAGGCATCTAGGAATTTCTGTGGAAAGTAGTTTGAAGATTTAAAGTCACCTCTATCTGAAGGTACCCCCTTTAGTGTGAATGTGTGGAGGGGGAGTTTTGGATTCAGAACAGCTGCTCTGGCTGTTACCCAGTCCTATTGAAGAGGTAACCTCCTAGCAGAAGTGATTTATTTTTCCTCGAACTATTTTTAGTATTTCCTTTTGGCTAATATGATTTACTTATAATTCTTTAAAAATCTGTTTTAATATCTATTTTGTATATTCTTTACAGTATGTCTTTTTACTGTATTTCTTTTATACTACTTTATCCTTTCTAGTAGTCTTTCTAAATTATTTGCTTTTTCAAAATGAAATTAGCAGTGTTTCTCATTATAAAATTAATTTCTATTTTGTGTGAGGGGAATAAATTGACATATTCTTAGGGAAAAATATGGAAATATACACACCAAACCTAATAATTGTTGTTACCAGGATGCATGACTGGTTTAAATTCACTTTATGGCTCTTTTGTAGTATTTGCTTTTTTCTAAGCCAAATATTATATACTATTTTATAATAAAAATTAAAGATTTTTTAAAATTAAAGAGATATGTATAATTATTATAAAAGTAGACATATCAAAGATATAAAGATAAAAGTAAAATGACTCAAAAGAGAGAAACCCTGCTTTCATTGCATGAATGTGTGTGTAATTATACTGTAATGATATTTTGTATACTCTTTCTACTCACAAATACATTGTGAGCATTTTCCACATTAAAAAAATAGGCATCTACATCATTATTTTTAATACTTGCCAATACTGAGTTGACAGTATTGTGATTTAATGGGTTCTGTATTGGTAGAAAGAGATTAATTTCAGTTTTCTACCAATATAGGTAATGCTGTGGTGTACATTCTTGTACATATATCTTTGCATAATTTTTCTTTCAAAGTTTTTGCTTTTGATATTTTGTTTTACTTCCAATATTTTTATTGTACAGACAAGGAAGTAACAGTATTTTAAAAATGAAATTTTGGTTAAAGCTTCAAAAAGCAATAGATGTAATACTCTGAGATCAAATCATCATATGCAGGCTTTTAAAGGAAATGGTCCAGAACCCAATTCATGTTCTCCGCTGATTGAAGAAAATAAAAAGGAATCAAAATGAAGAAAAGAGGATGTTTGGGAGGGAGACTGATGGGACGATTTTTCCAGAGAGAGCTGTTTTGGACTCGGGGAGGGTTGGAGTCCCACCCTCTACCCCCAAGCCCAGTGAAGGGGTCTTCCAAGGGACCCTTCAGAGAGCTTGCTGTCTTTCCTGCAGGTGGACCAATGGTGGCCTGAAGAGAGAAGACTGACTGCTTTGGGGCAACGCCAGTGAAGTGGCTGCATTGAGATCATCTGCGTCCCAGAGTTTGCAGGGACCAAGGATGGGGCCCACTTCCCAAGACCCAGATGTGGGCCAGCAAGAACACAGAACCGGCAAGGATTTGCCTAGATCCTGCCTAAGAGGACCAGCTGCGTGGGTGAGGCGACCTCATTTGAGCAATCTTGGAGGTGGCTCACCCGGGCCTGGAGGAGGAATGCAAGGGACCCCTGAAATAGAGTGGTTCTCAGCCTGGTCATGGGGCCTCCAGGGGAAAGGGCTGGAGTAATGGGAAATCCCAGAGATTTACGAAAGCTCAGAGAGGGAGGGAGGGAGAGAGAGAGAGAGAGCACTCTAAGCATCTGCCTGCCCCAGAGAGCCAGAAGCTAGAGCCTTCTGTGGCATCAACTCAGATAGGGGCTGCCTTATCACCTTAGCAGCCCCTGCCCCTGGTGAACAAGCCTGCAGCTCAGGGAGGAGGTGTGGGGAGAAGAGGTCGCCTTCATCCTTCCTTTCCCAGGACAGACTTCCAGTTACAGAGGTGTATGCTGGGGCAAGGAGAAGATTTTGATGCTGGATGAACTGAGTTTAACTTTTGAATTAGTGTATTGGACTGTGCTCTGAATTTTTTTTAAACATTTTTTATTGATTTATAATCATTTTGCAATGTTGTGTCAAATTCCAGTGTAGAGCACAATCCCTCAGCCATACATGAACTTATATACACTCACCATCACATCCCTTTCCCTGTGAGCCACCACAAGATCCTGTATACATTTCCCTGTGCTATACAGCACAATCCTGCCCATCTATTCTACAATTTTGAAATCCCAGTCTATCTCTTCCCACCCCCCACCCTCTTGGCAACCACAAGTTTGTATTCTATGTCTGTGAGTCTATTTCTGTTTTGTATTTATGCTTTGTTTGTTTGGGTTTTTTTTAGATTCCACATATGAGCAATCTCATATGGTATTTTTCTTTCTCTTTCTGGCTTACTTCACTTAGAATGACATTCTCCAGGAGCATCCATGTTGCTGCAAATGGCGTTATGTTGTCAGTTTTTATGGCTGAGTAGTATTCCATTGCCTGAATTCTTGAATGGAGACTATGCCTTCACGTGACCCTTAGGACTGTGTCTTACTTGAGAGGGAGCAGAAAGTCACAGGTCTGCTGGATTTTCATCCAGAGGGGAGAATAATTCCCACCCTAAGTAAAGGAATAGCGGGAGAAAAAATTCAGTTGATTGAATTACCCTCAGAGTTGTGCTTGTTCAAAAGACTTTGGGAAAAGCCCCTCAGGCCGGGTGGACCGTGCACAGCAGAGGATCCCACAAGTCCTCCTCTGCGTGGCCTGCAGCGGCCCTTCTCCCCTTGCTGTGACAGCCCTCAGCCCACTATACATGACCAGCCATCTGAGTCCCTCCGCAGAGCCACCGGACTCAAATCCTCACAGTAAATGGAGTAACTCAGGGGACAGCATGTGACCTCTCCTGGTGACACTTGAGCAGTAGGCAGTGGGCAGGTCTATATTTGGCCTTTCACTCATGGCAGGCC